CCCTCCTCTCTCATTTTCAGACAACAGCAAACAGGAAAAGGACTAGAAAACTGAACAAAGGTGCTGAGAGGTCCTTAGCCAGGGCATTTGTGTGGTTATCTAACTTTTCTAGTCCTTATTCAAAAGATGTGTCGTAACAGTGCAATATGTAGAACAGGTGTCAGTGGCCTTGCTCTGCTTGCCCCGGAACAAGGGCCTGTCCCCAACAGAATTCTAATGTTAGGATATCCCCGCTTACTGGTGGAGTGGCTTTGTGTGCTGACACTGGACTATTTCTTCTCTAACTACCTGTACTCAGTGTGTGCATATCCTAGGGTAATGCGGCAGCATCAAGCCAGCACTAGTGTCAACCCACAGAGTGAACCTCCAACTTAGCCCAGGCACTAAGAGCCAGAACCCACCTGTTACCATTTCCGTGGGGAGAGGCAGGCCTCAAATGTATCTGAATTTTACAGTTTGCTTTGCAAACCTGAAACAAGTTGTAGTTTTTGAAGCTACAGGAAAAAAAACAAAGCAGCACCTGAGCAACCCCAGACTCTGAGGGACACTTTACAAAGCCCTGACCCAAGCAGGCCCCCGGCCGCAGCACTCAGGCCACCAGCAGGCCTGCAGAGGCAGTGGGGCTGGCTGGGCCTGGGACTCCGTAGGCCCTGGTGGGCAGGGCCTACAGCTGTCCCCTGTGCACAGGCGCTGGCATGTCAGGTGCTGCACACCTGAGGCAGATGGCTTTCCTCGAGGCCAAGGAAATCATCCCTGATCCTAGAAGGGCAGGCAGAGCGAGTCGGGGGAGGGCAGTGGCTGCCCTGGTCAGCTGGGGACAGTGCACCATGATCCTGATACCCACCCAGTGGGGTGGTCCCTACAGGCCCCCTTACCTGCATGAGTCCAGGCCAGAGTGGGAATGGCCGGCTACCACCTCCGCACCTCCCCAGGATCTGCCCCACAAGCTTGGCCTTCCTCAGTGTGGGCAAAGCCATGGTCCTAGAGGATGGCCCGCATGAAGCCACCTCTTTCACTTACATCACAAGGCAGTGAACAGCCTAATGGGTGCCAAGTCATTTTCTGACAGGGTCTTTGGAATTCCACCATTGCTGGGTAAATGGAAAAGTAGGGTTCCCCATCATAAGGTGTCTGGGCTGGTGCCTTTGCTCTGCTCCTGGGGGCTGGCCACACCCACTGTTGTCTTGGGAGGTTCTTGAACAGCTCCCACATGTGTCCTATCCTACTCACCCTCTAAATGGTAATCTCCACAGAGCCAAAGCAGCTCTGATTTCTTTAAGAATGATTCGCAAAACAGTGATACTTTAATTTGAAGAATAAATCAGCTACTATTCTGTCAGAAGGCTTCCCTCACTTCAAGCAGCCTGATGTTCCAGTTTAATCATGACAAATACACTTCTGCATGTTCTAGCATTATTCCTAGTACTCCCCAGGAAAGGAGGAAATAAAGAGATGTTAGCATCCAGAGGACACAGCAGCCTGCACATCCCCTGGAACACAGCGGTCTCCATGCTGCATAATAAAAGAGGCCAGTGTAGGAGATCCCACCTGAGGTGAGCCAAGGGCACCTCCTGGCCCTTCCCTGGAAGGCCAAGGTGAGTCCCCGGCAGCAGTGGACAGTCCTGACTGCTCCAGGAACAGTGAGGACTGGACCTGGGGCAGCAGATGCTGAGGGGGGCCCAGCAGCCAAGTGCTGTACAATTGTCAGGGTCCCTCCAAGGAGACCGCATTGGGGAAGGACACACTGGGCTGCCAGAGTCCTGAATTCGAACCCGTCTGGTAAAGACCCCTCTCCCTCCAGGGCCAGCCTGGAAGCCTGCTCTGCCCTGATCATTTGGGAGGCTGAAAGAGAAGTTTCGGATATGGTGATGTAGCAAGAGTTTCCAAAACCTGGGTCCTTCTTTCTCAGAGGTCTAGGGATGTCTGTCCTGAAATAAATGGCTGGGGAGATAGTTTGCTCTGCTTTCTCTATCTTGGATGTTTCCTCTTGAGAGAAGGATCACACCCTAAATTATTTCTTCTCCAATCATTTTCAGAAAGGCAGTTCTTTTGCCCTTTCAATGGGATCTGTTTGCATAGCAATTGACTCTGTCTACATCAGTTAGCTTTTGTTATGTCACAGACGACTCTAAAATTCAGTGGCTTTGATATATATGAGTACCATTCACGTAGCTCATGATCCTGTGATCAGCTGCCGTTTTGGTTGGAGGCTGGTTGGTCTAGAGGGACCTCAGCTAGGACTTCTCGTGGCTCTTATCCTGCAACAGGGCAGCACAGTCTTGTTCACACAGCAGTGGGTTGGTTACAAGAGCCACAGATGAGGGTCAAGCCTCCATGCACAAGCACTTTTTAAGCCTTTGCTTGCTTCCTACCTGTTTATATTCATTGACCAAAGTCAGTCATTTGGGCAGGCCCAGAGCCAGTGTGGGAGGGCACTGTCATAGAGTGTGGGTGCCAGGGACACAGATGAGGGACAAGGGGGATTTGTTGCCTTTTTGCAATCTGTCACTAAGCTCTTGCTTAATCTGGACCCCAACTCAGTGAGACAGGCTGTGAACATATTAATTTTATGCAGCCATGCATATGTACATTCCATTTTATGGAGTGTGACACAAGACCTAGAGGGCTGAAGGGTATTACCCCAGACTGCACAGCAAACTGGCCTGGAAAGCCTGTCTCTTGGGTATCTGCCGCTGCCCCATACCACCTGTCATAGTCCCCTCTATAGCAGTGCTGGGCCATGGAGTGGGTGAGGTACAGCCAAGAGCCAAATCCTGGCTGCCTCCCAACAGACATCCATCAGCAGAAACACTGCAGGCCCTGTTATCTACCCTCCCCAGGCTTTGACCTCTGGAGCCACCACACTGGCCCTCCAGGCCCTGCAGCTTCCCCCTGGCCTAGCACAGTGTGGCAGACTGATTGTTTCAGTGCAGGCTCTTTGGGAAGTCTTGTGCAATTTCAAAACTTTAAACACAAGTAGGTGAGACTCTTAATATGGAAAATACCAGTTGGTAGTAGCTGGAGGCAAATTAGAATTTTTTCTCTCATCTCCTATGCCCACACTTTCACAATTGCTCATGAGTCCATTTGCTGTTCCTCCTGCCCCTGTGTACCTTGAGGGTCTAGAATTTGATTGCATATATACATCTGCTCTTAAATGCCTCGTTTGGTTGTTTCTGTCTCGCCTGTACCTGCCTGAGCATAATTACCTGAAGGGGCAGATTTGGGAGGCCCCGTGTATCTATGGGGCACTGCTAGGCCAGCCATATCCCCATTTGCTATGCACCTGAGCCTGAACTCTGCCTAGGCACCTGGTCATCCATCAACTCATCTGTTACCACATCTACCCTCATCCATCCCAGTGATATGTGACAACGAGGAGCAGCAAAGGAGGATCCAGCTCTTTAAAGTGACCACCACACACTGGTCCTTCTCCAGATGGATGGGAAGAAGCAGCATGTCATCTTGGGCCAAGCTGGAAGGAAGGCCAGGAGTGACAATGACATGAAAAATGAGTACCTGAATAGGAGCTTAGCACTTTTGGATTTGTCCTGTTTTGTGCTTCTCCACAGGAGCTGAGAACTATGTTCAGAAGCAGTTAGCTACAGATGAGGCATGCACAGTGAATGGCCTTTGCCTCCTTTCCAAAAGATGTTTGAAAGCCCAAGTTTCCCAAATGGACAGATGGAATCCTGGAGTCTCAAACCAGAATGACCCCTGGCTCATTTGTCCAAACCCCATCTTTTATAGAGGGGAGAGTGGGGCATGGGACACAGACAGTTATAACCAGAGTAAGAATGACTCAGGATTGTGGGAAATAAATGCCTTGGATAGAAAAGACTAGTGACTCTTTCACCTGCAGAGAGGAGGTATAGCCTGCTAGGAAAGTCACAAGTCCAACTGGCCCAACAGCAGCACCCGAGGGCAGCCAAGTGGTGACAGTCAGCCTCTGTACTATCTGCTTGGCACAGGGAAGGACCTCCTGTACATCCACCCAGGCTCAGAGCCCCAACCCACCTGGCTGGGTGTGGTGGAGGGAGGATGGAGGCCTCCAGATAGTGCAGATGAGCTGGGTGGGGCTGGAAACTGCTTCCACTGATGCAGCCTGACTCTAAGCAAGTTGGCAGTGATACCCCCAGGGTTTGGGCAGCACCATGGAGCATGGACAGTGCTTTACACTGGCTGCTGTCAGTAACTCTGGAGGGAGTATCCAGGGCACAAAGCCTGGGGGACATGGGTGGCTTTCCCCTAGTTGCACAGGAGGCCTTCCAACAGATGACAGCCCATGACAGACAGATGGGGAGCCAGGTGGACAGCCCAGTGGAAGCAAGACAAAGGCACGTGTTACTGTCCCAGTGGCCAGCCAGAGGCCCAGGTTAGTGGCCCCACTGGAGAAGCAGGGGGGAGTGCTAGGGTCACTCCTCAGGGGACCTCACCTACCCACCTCCACACCCAGTGATTTCTGAGCTCCCCATTTTGACCCTAGGACTGGACTGACAGTGCACGGAAAGAAGGCTCACTCACAGAAACATCAGGATGCCTAAGACAGGGCACTTGTGAATACTAAGCTGTGTGGTCCAAGCAGGGGTGGGAGGAATTGGTGTTGTACGCAATCATGGGATCTTTCCAGAGGAGGGGAGAAGCTGGGCTTTACATGCTAAGTGCAATACTTGGTGGAGGGTTTTTGACAAAATCAAAAAAGATTTTGTCTTTTTATTCAACCAAAATAATGACCTGGACTTTAAAACAACAATCTAGCACACCCTCTTCAGGCCAAGGGTATGTAGTATCTGACCACAGTAGACTCCTAAAATGTGCAGTTTGTAAATAACAAACAGAAGCAGCAAAATACTTTATTGTTGCATGGAAGCAGCCATCATGCACCAGCTGGGTGCTGAGGTCAAGTGGCCCAGGCCATGGGAAGTTTCATTCTCTTTGGCCTGCTCTGGGCCATCAGGTTACTGTGAATCAGGCACTAACAGCTTTCTCATCCCCTGCAGGCACTTGCCCCAGCTATGCCACAGACCCACTCCTGTCCCTGCTCCTGTTAGCTCTGCATAAGCTCCTGCACCTTCTGGTGGGGCACTGACAGATGGACGCGGCATCCTGCACACCTCCACAGGCCACACGGCCAGCCTCAACCCTGGGCGAGGACCATGTAGCCAGATGGACATGGAGAGACTGAGAGAAGCATGACAAAGTCTTTGTGGAAAATAAATAAATCATATTTTTGGGGAAGTTACACAAATGTAGAATACCTAAAATAATGCATCTAGTTTCCAAATAAGATGAAGTTTGGACCATGCAGTATGTATGGGATCAATAATTTCTCTACTTCAATGTATTTTTCTTTGCTAAAGTTTTCCTCTGAGTCATTTTGCACGAACTGGTGAGCAATTAGCTTTAGGATAGCATATACAAATGTTGGGTCAAAGCCTTTCTGACAAAGCAAAATATTTTTAGTAGATTATTGTGGAATTTTTTAATTTACTTTTTTCTTTAGGGGCATTCCTTTTTTTAAATTGAAGTAAATTATTTCTTTTGAGACAATTTTGATTTAAAAAAGATACATCTTATCATAATTAAAATTCACTGTCAATAATATTTATTTTTAAATAAAGACTGGAAACAAGGTCAGACACTTGTTTATAAACTGTATTGTATATTGCTGAATAACAGTTGAATAAAAACAACTTTGAAATAATCTTTCTACAGGCATGTGTGAGTGTTAAGCCTTGGTGCCTAGTACAGCCAGAATGCCATGACCTTTTCTTTCACCAGCTGCACTCTTGGCTGGTTGCAGCCCAGCATAGGGGACCTGGCCAAGGCCACACTGAGCAGTCAGGAGTGCTTGCCTGGCTTCCCTGGGGAGAGGGGACCTCAAGGAGCCAGGAGATAGAGGAGCCCCCAACCTGGGTCCTAAAGGAAATGAGGTTGCTGGGAAGAGGTGTAATATAAATAAAGAACTTAAACCTTTTGGGTTAAGCTCATCATGCAATGCATTTGCCCACTTGGAAATTATACATTCCAAGTGTATTCACTGTTATTGGATTCACTGCTAGTGTGAGGAGGGAATTTGGGAAGAAGATGGGGCATTCCACACTCTTCCTCTGTGCATCTAAAGATTGCTTTGAGCCCCTGAAATTCATGCCTTTGGAGCAAGTTATACATGTCTTAAAGAAATAGGCATTCCTGGGAGCCTATTCTTCATTCTCATTCCACGAAAGAATCACATTAGGTAGCCAGACCCCATGTACTCTTTTAGAACCTAGCCAGTTTTCAAACAAGTGTGCTTGTTATTGATTTGCTCACCAAATACTTCCATCTCACTGGCCATCATGCAGTTAGGACTGTGCTGCCTGGCTATGGCTGGTGTGTTTGGGTAACCAGCTCTGGCTGGTGAATTGTGAACAGGAGCATGCATGATCTCTAGTCCCAGACATTTGACTGCTAGTGCAAGACCCTCGAAAGCACTCTTTTCCTCTGATATAACTGGCAACTTTCAAGACATAAATACTCTGCCGGCCTGAACGCTTTCTGTGCTGGGCAGAGCCTCCTCTGCTGGCCAGCACTGGAAATGCAGCATGGAGAGGACAACCTCTGCAGTGGTGAACCCCTGAGCTTTGGGATAATCCGGCCTAACCCGACTGATTTGGCAAGGTACTGCTGTTTTTATTTAAGGGGAAAGAGAAAAGAAAAGTGCATACAGACAAAACCACATGTGCAGAGACCCCCAATGTGGAGCTGACATACCAGATGCCTGCTGTTTCTGGTGGATACATTAAGTTGTTCACCTTTCATTTGTATTGATCAGCAACAATCAAGCTATAAATTTAATCATTTTGTCTGGTGAATAGTGATTCTGTCCAGAAGGATCATCTCTTTTAATGGTTAACTCAATACTGCAGCAGGGTAATGTCATGTTAAATACAGGCCCTCTGTGGTTGAAAAGAAAAAGACACTTCATAGGGGCCAGATCAGATGGAAATGGTGTATCAGCGATGGGCTGATACTGTGCCAGACCACTCCAGGGACTGGGAGCTGGGAGCTATTTCCCATCATCAAAACCAGACCCTTCTACATATGCACAGCCAGCCAGGTTCCTGCTGGAGCCAGCCGGCCGTGGGATGATGTGCACGGGGTTGAGGAAGCAGGTGTGTTTTGGGGAACTGCTCTCCTGAGCTGCCCTTCTGCACAGAGAAGCAGCACCTCACATGTAGAGGAGCAAGCCCTTAGGTCTCCTGGAGACCAAAGACTTCTAGGAAGGAAATCATGAATGAGTCTGAGCTTAAACCAACCCCCAAAAGAAGCTAACGGAAGTCAGGCTGAGGCTGAGGAGGAATTGGGGCCCACAGAGGACAAAATCCTGTTTTTGGAAAATCCCTCTGACCCTGGGGCCCCCAGGGAACAGCATCTGTGCTGTCTGTACCCTGGACTTGAAGAAATGAAGTGTGCATTTGCAGATCCACAAAGCAGATTGACAGAGATCTGAGCACATGCTCTCTGGGGTCCCTCGTGCAGCCCTCCAAGACGAGGACAAAGAACGGGTGACTGCACTGAACTCTATGGGCTACAAGCAGACAGGAGGAAGAGCACCCACCAAAACAGAAACTGTGAGATTGGACCCACCGCCTCTTTTCCTTTGCATTTTGGTTCCAGCCCAGGGCAGATGGGGGCTGGGGTCCAAGAACAAAGAGAAATATTTCAATTTGAGAAGATGCACTGTGGGTGACTCAAGAGCTTTGGTCCTGGGCTGTGAGGACCACCTGCTTGGCTTGAAGGGACTGTGGTACTATGGGTCAGCCACAAACACCAAAGTCAGGTGAGGGGACAGGAGGGGAGAGGAGGGAAGTGGTGGGAGGGCAAAACACTCCAACCAGAGGGGGAGAGAGAGGATAGAAGAGCAGAGTGGGAGGGAGGAGAGCAGGCATGTTGCGGGGAGTGGGCCATGCCCCCAGCCCAGGGGAGAAGCCCCTGCATTCTGCAGTTGTGATTAGATGCCCCTTGTTGACAGCACCTCGTACTGCTGACCCACGTGGGTCCTTCAGGAGGCAGGCAGTATTTCAGGGAATAACCTGGGGGAAGGACAGGAATTCTTGGAGAACTGACAGGAGGTGATGTAACCAAAGGCAGCAGCATTCCAAGTCTTGGTTTGATGTCAGTCCCACATTCCTAGCTACTGCTCTAACTCAGAAAAACAAGTTCTATCTGCCTTGATCACAACTGGCCTTGGTTGGAATATAACAAGATGAGTCATTTCTGAACCGAGCTTGTGGCTAGGATGCTTCTGACACTGGCAGGCCGGGAGTATAGTTTTTGCTTATTTTTACACTGCTTTCCCCATCCTCACATCAGATGACATCAGGCATCCATTCTGTTGGCATTCTGGAGGGTGCAAACCTGCTTTTCCTGGATAACAAGTGGCAAAACACTTGGTGCCTTAGCTCCCTGGGTGCATGCGCATGTCTGCTTAGCAGGCGGCTGCATTAGAATACTGTTGTTACCTTTCCAGTGAATGATGCAGCAGCCAGAGTGACCCCACCCATTGGGAACTTCAGCCAAACTGGGGCAGCTGCCCCGCACTGCTCTCTGCCTTCATCAGCCAAAAACCTTTGCCTAATCCCTGGGACTCCAGGGACCCTAAAATGCATAGAAAGCTGCCTTTAGGAGGGACCTGCCCCTTTTGTGGCTGCGTGTACAATATGAGATAGTCTGGAAACAACACGGGTGATGACATCTTTTAAATGACAAAGATCCACAGAACACCAAAAATATATTTCAAGTCAGGAAATGTGACTCCACACCAAGTCTAATTTGCCACCAACTAGCAGAAGGCCAACAAAAATCAGATTTGTTCCCTGAACCAGATTTTTTTAAAGGGGGAGGTGATAAGTGGTACTTTTACCACTAAGTGATACTCTTAGAAAATATAGATGATAACTTTTAGATATGAAGTCAGGGAGGATGTCTTAAATAAGATGCAAAAAGTGTAAGAAAAAAGATGACAATTTTGACTACATTATAATTAAAAGCATTTGTTTATCAAAAGTCACCATAAAGAAAGTGAAAAAAATTACAAAATACAACCAACAAAGGATTAGTATCCAGTATGTACAAAGAACTCCTAGAAATCAATACAAAAAGCACAAACAATATAATGGAACAAATGGACAGAAGACATGAACCACAGAAAAGATAGCCAGTAAATATATAAAATGTATTCAGTCTCAATGGTGATAAGAGAATTATAAATCAAGGCCTACTCAATTACCAAAAATTAAAATATCAAGTGTTAGAGAGGATATGGATTACAAGATCTCTTATACATTGATTGTGAGACCATAAATTGGTGCAACCTCATTGGAAAACACTTCAGCAGTAACTCAAAATTGCATATTCACATACCCTGTAGCTCAGCCATTTCACTCCTCGCTCATGTGCACCAGGGGACATGTAAACAGAAGTTCATGGCAGCCCCATTCACATAACCTGGAAACAGACAAGTTCCCATAGACAAGGGGATGAATGGGTATGCTGTAGAATATTCTCATGGTGGTATATTACACAAGAGTCAGAACGAATGAACCACAAATGAACATCTATTAGTTGAAAAAAGCAAGCCCCAAAAGATTACATACAGTAAAATACCCATTTTATAAAGTTAAAACCCAACTAAAACTAACAGGTAGATAGAGGGTGGATGGATGGACAGACTCTTTTAAAAAAATCTATAGATGAGATGAAAACTATCTAAAGTGGAAAGCAAGGGAGTGATGAACATGAATAAAGAACCATGGTTACTTTGGTGGGGTGGGCAGAGGGATGGGGTGAAGGGGAAGCCACAGGTGGGTGTAGGGGATTATCAAGATCTTAGTTTCCAAACTGGGTGATGAGTTAGGGTACTCGCTGCATTATATTTTAATTGAATGAATGAATGATGCCATACACAATCAGTGATGAGAGCCTATTATAAACAAGGACAGTAGTTAAACAGTTCTATGCAGGTAAAGTTAAAAACAAAAGAAGAAAATCTCTATCAGGGATTTATATTAAAATAAAACAAAATAACTTTCTCTTTCCACAGCCCCCAAGACAAATTCATATCTAACTCAATCTCCCACCCAGAGGTTGAAAACTGATGGTTCATGAGCCACATCTGGCTCACAGACATATTCTGTTAGGCTTGCACAAAGATTTTTGTTATTACTTTACAATATCAGGGACTCTCATGTAAAAGCCCAAACTTTTGGCTTCCCTTGAAAAAATCATAACATGTGGCCATACAGGGCCCACATTACTATGTGGTGACATTAGTGGCTGCCTAGCAGCAGCTGTCCCTTACAAAAGAGCAGTTTCCCCACTTCCCTATAAGCTCTACCCTTCCCAGCACCCCATCCAGTTTGCCTCCTGCAGATACACAATCAGTGAGTGTTGGTGGGCAAATGAGTGTGTGCACAACAGGCTCTTGCCAGGCTCCATCTCTGCCCTCAGCAGCCTCTGACAGCTGTGTTCACTCCACTGGCCTCCAGGGTGACAGGGCATCAC